AGAGATTATCAATTTACCTGCACAGATATACATTAGCATTTAAACAAGATTTGAGGGTGTTAAGCTCTCTATGGAAACTCTGCGAGGTTCAGAGTCCCTCCATCACTGATGTACCGTGAAGCTGAGAGAAAACAAACAGATTGTGCTGATTTTTCTCCTCCTCTCCCCATAAGGTGACCGTTCCAGGTCAGGTGGTGGATGTAGCGTGCGGTGTGGACCACATGGTGGCGCTGGTGAAGTCTCTCCTGTGAGACGTTTGGGACTGGAGCTGATTTCTCTTCCTTCTGAAGACGGACCTCAAACCAAACCTGAAGGAAGCTGGACTCTGTTTCTGCCTCCCATCACGCTAAACACACACGTTTACATCCGCTGTTTAAAGGGAATATTTATCACACATGAGAAGATGATGCAGGTAAGGAAAGATCCGGCAGAGTCTAACGATTCCTGGTTGGTTCTGAAGCGTCGGATTCTGGTTCTCTGCTGCTTCAGGAGGCGGTTCTTCTGCAGCAGATTCGCACCAAGAGCAATGAAAGCTTATCGCTGCATGAAAATGTGTCGGTTTATACGATCTGCCAATAACCCTACTGGAAAATATTTGTTTGATATTATGTAAATAAACTTTATTTAATACATTCTGATGTTGTTGATGCGGTTTATTTAATACATACACCAGATTTTCCTCCTCTAAGTTGGTCAAAGTGTGAGAACCTCCTCACTCGTCACCAAGCAGCTGAGTTATTTATCTAAAGCTGATTTAGTGCAAAAGTTCAGTTAAGCAAAAAGATCAAGTGATATTTTAAGATTAACAGAAAGGATGAACCCATCTGATGAGTCAAGGCTCAAAAAAAAAACCTTAGCTTATTTATTTTTTTCATAAGAATCTGAAATGAAAAAGACTTTTTTCTAAGAAGTAGCGTTGAGCTATTTTAGACTCCATGCCTGCTGGACGCAACTTATTAACCTTTAGGTTTACACTATAGAGCACTACTTTACAACAACTGTACCACAGAGAGCGTTTCTATCCTTAAAATAAATTATATAATGTTTCTGAAAATGTCTGTTAAGAGCAAAACTGACACAAGACCAAAAAAAGACTTAAGTGAGACATTTCTGCAAAAACTTTTGTCGTTTTATAGTTTTATTTGCAATATTTGTCTGAGAGACAATGAAAAACTTTAGATGAAAGCTCATCCTGTGTTAGAACAGCCCAGTAGAAGTCCAGATCTGAAAACGAATGCTTATAGACACAATATCACACTCCTCTGGCTGAGGTAAAACGTTTTATTTAAAGAGGAAAGGGCAGAAATTTTAATTGCTAAATGTGTAAAGCTGGAAGACGAACTCCAAAAGTTACCCAGGGGCCTCAGTTTACTAATGACCTGAGCTGATGAAGGCAGTTTGGTGGAGTATATTTTATTTAGAGGAGTGAATAAGAATATATGCCTTATTAACCAATTCTATTCAGTTTATTTCTATAGCTCCAATTCACATCATGTCATCTAAAGACACTTTCCAGTTCACCAGATCATCCAGTCAGATTGATTCAAAGTTTTCAATCTAAGGAAAACCAGCTGATTGCATCGACTCATTGACTCTTCAGCAATCCCTCACACTAAGCATGCTTGTAGCGACAGTGGAGAGGAAAAACTCCCTTTTAACAGGAAGAAACCTCCAGCAGAACCAGGCTCAGTGTGAGCGGCCATCTGCTGAGGCCCACTGGGGTTCAAGGAGTAGTGATAAATACCATTATTAGGTTAGTGGTGATTATAGAGAATATTTGGATTTATAAGACAGAATGACATTAAAAGAACAAAACACATATTTTAGAGCTTATTTTATTTTAGTTAGCTAGGAAATTATGTTCCATAATTTTTTTACATCATATAATTACCTATCGAAGAAAATCCATGCTTTATCTTTAATGTTTTTCCTTATTTTAAAAGCTACACTGCAAAAAATGTAAATCTCAATGAGTATTTATTTTCTTAAAATAAGTGCATTTGTTCTTAAATTAATGAGGTAAGTGTAACACTTTGCCAACGGAACAAGACAATATACATTTAAAATAAGAAAAAAACTATTATATTGTCTTATTTCAAGTGCCTATTATCTAATTATCTTAATTTAGGAGTAAAATTACAAATTCCATTGGCAAATCATCTTATTTTCCTGCTCAAATTAAGGGTTAATGTACTTCATTTAAGACTTTTTTACTCATTTTTAGATCGTTTTTGCAGTGTAAAACAACAATATTTGGTATTCTATTTAAAAAGTCAGGTTACATATTGCAGCTAAACGTCTGTTTGTGAAACGTTGCTCTATGTGAATAAATGTGCTCAGATTTTCCTAAGTGTTCAGTTTTAGATTTTATTTCGAGCCTTTTTGACTCCTCTCTACCAGAGACGCCATTAACTGCTGTATCCAGTGGCGCTTCTAGACCAAATGCACCAGGGGGCCACGAGGGGGCCAGAAAAGCATGAAATAAAAACAGGGCAAAGGATTCAAATATATTAACAGAGCTGCATGACATGAAATTTCTACTCAATTTGTTTAATTAAAATTATTTGTCTGATTAGGTCCATATATATGTTCATAATTTAGGAATTTTACATATTTTTGACTTAAATTAAGTTAAAATGAAAGTTTTCTATAAAAATTTTAATAAGAATTCAAGAAAAACCGATAAATTTATCTGTAAAAATTTGAATTTTGTTTTTTATTTGTTTTGAAAAAAAAAAAAAAAAAACATTTAGCAGATGAAAATTGGGATCCTATCTCAATAACACTGAAGCTATCGCCTTTTTGTTTTTAAATATTTAGTAAAACAGAATTTGTAAAGAAAAAACAATGAAATAGATCCAAAAGAACTATCAGTAACCATGTCTGTTCCAGCACAGATCATCATTAGAATTCCTTTGAGTATTAAACCTTCAGTACAGGGGTCAGGACATGATGACTGGCCCCCGTTGGCCCCTGACTAGAACCGCCCCTGGTTGTATTTAGCTGTAAAGGAGAAACTGGAGCAGAACACCAGCTCTACGTTCTGAATGTTTTGAATCTGGGTCAGTATGAGGAGGGGGAAATACAAACAGTGCATCAGCTTCATGCTTTTCTGCCTTCTGGTTCCTGGGGGGGGTGGGGGGGTGCAGGTATCAGCTGTCTGTTTTTTCTGACCAGAACAAACAAAGCAGAGAGCGGCCAGGTTGCTGCTGCTATCTGCTGAGAGGAGCCAACATGGTGCGTTGGTGTTTTTACAATCGTGATCACCTTCCCTCTCCTGTGGCTCGTCTACAAAGGTCCTCATGGCTGGAAGTCGATCTCTAACGGGTTCAATCCTTTCTGCAGGATAAATAAATAACAGGGAGATCAGAACAGTCACTAACAGCACTCTGAAAAACTTAGAAACCCGCTTCATCTTCCTTCCTATTTGCCAGTTTGTCGGTTATCTTCTTTTGGTTGCAGGTGAAGATTGTCTCTTTGCAAAAAATTAAAAACTATCAAATAAAGACGTTTTGCTTCCCATCCAGGAAGCTGCAGAAAACCTTGAACACATTCCTGACATTTTGAATTGAAAAAATCTTCCTGGATGGGAAACAAATTTTCTTTTGGTTGTTTTCTAATTCTCAGACCAGTTTTTGGCCACACTAACATATTGTCTAATGAGAAAGTGGATATATATATATATAGAGCCTCTAAAAAAAAAAAAGAACCCTTGGGTCTCTGGTAAATGTTTTCACTTTTCTTGAACTTTTTTAAATAAATCACATTTATTAGAAAGTTTGTTCACAAAAAAACAAGAAATAACATTGGTTCCACTCTGCTCTCAAATGGGACATACAAATATTTCCAGGTTTGAAGATGTTTCTCTCCCATCCAGGAAACTTTTTTTATTCAAAATGTCAGAAATAGCGTTTCTAGAGTTCCTGGTTTTATCCAGTAGCCCAAAACCTTGTTTTTGTTTAGAAACCATGCGAATTGAAATGAACGAACGGGTCCATCTTCCTCTGTTAGCCTGCAATGCCCCATACCTGTCTATGTCTCTGAAAGGAGGGTCGTTAAAGGGAATTGTTGGTCTGGCTGAACAGGCCAGGGGCCTGTTTCAGAAAGGAGG